TTCATCAACTGGAGAACTACTGGAAGGGTCTCATCACATTCACTTTCCCGCTCCTGCTTCCTTTTTATGACTTTTACTGCTTAGGCATCGAACTGAGGGGCTTGTAGTGCTTCAGCAACCCGTGCTTTTTTGCCAGAATCACTGTAGTCAATGTAGTCCTGTTTTCAGGTGGGAGGGGTGTTGTCTGTGGGTTTTCCATGTTTGTTTAGAAGGCCCTGCTTGATCATCATCTTCTTCTGAGTTGCCTTTGGACCTAAACCCCATTTTCGAGGATAAGTGTCTCTCTTCATGATCACCCTCTTTATCTTGGCTACTATACCATGGTCGCAGGTAGAAATCACTGCAATAGATATGCAGATAGCTTCCCCTTTGATGATAATGACCACAATCTCCTGGTTGACCTCAATGCCATCCTCATATCAGAGAACACCAGGAAGCATGATCTTGGCCCTGTAGCCGATTGCATTCACTGCACTACCTTTCATAACCAGATGTTTATGAGATGTCAACAGCTTTTCCAAAGGATAAACAACATGCTGCAAGTAACTCTCATCCTTATGGTTATTAAACAGCCACTGAGCATCAAGTACATCATGCATTGTCATGTGATCCTTTTCACTCATGACTCCAGAACACATCCTCTGAAGTTCCTGCACCTCACCACAAACTCCCAGAAGCAAGCCAATGTGCACACATAGTGTCTGAATGTAGGTGCCAGATTTACAGCTCACCCAAAAGATTCCTAATCTTTCAGGATCATATTCTATCATTTTGCTCTCATAGATAGTCCCCACCCGAAGCTACCTCTTTACTGCAGCAACAAATGGGGGTCGCTGAACAGGCCACCTGTCAGAGTTTCTAGGGCCCTAGAAAGCTGAGTACCTCCTTCAATAGCATTCTGCAACCTGACAGTTCCTACATACTCTTTGCCTGAACTCTGCTGTGATTTAACCAAACAAGTGGCTTGTTCAGTGCATACAATTAAACAACCAGTCACTTTGGGATCTATTGTGCCATTGTGGCCTGTCTTCTCTACCTGAAGTATTTGTTGGATCCAGGCTACCACCTCATGGGAAGAGAGGTTAGAGGGCTTGTCAAGATTAATGAAACCTGTCCTGATATAGTTCCCAATCTCCCTCTTAAAAGGATTTGAACCACAATGAATAGGTTTGTTGTCCCTACATTTAGCTTATCAAAATTCTTTAGTAACAAGGGCCATTGAGAAGTGTCTAATTGAGCCTCTTTAGATTCTGGTTTGATAAATTCTTCAGCATGTTGTATTTCAGCTACATCTTCTTGTAATGGCTTCTGGTCTTTTTTCTTCTAATGCTTCTTTGGGACAGTAATTACTTCAGCATCTGACATCTTGCACTCTACTGCCTGCGTCCTGCCAAAGTCTCCACCAGCTAGCGATCCCAGCAGTCAGATTTTATCTCTAAGAATTTCCTATTTTCATAGTATATTAACTCAGCTGATGACAGCTGCTATATTACTCTATCAGATACTTTTCTTAGTGCTGTGACAAAATACTTGGTGAAAGCCACTTAAAGGAAGGCCATTATGGTGTGGAAGGCATGGTGGCAGGTGGCTAAGGTGACTAGTCACATTGTGTCCCCAGAGAATGCAGGGAGAGATGGATGTGCTGATGGATGATCAGCTGTGTTCCTCTTTTGCCCACTTGCATGTAGTTCAAGACCTCAGCCCATGAGATGCTGCTCCAACAGTCAAGTGTCTTTCCTTCTCAGTTACACAGTTACTCAGGAAGTGCCTTCACAGACATGCTGGAGGTGTGATATCAAATCCAGTCAAGTTGACAATGCAGATTAAACATCCCACTTACTTAAGGTTACATGAATCTAAGTCATTGTGCTAACTAGTTTTCTATCAGCTTGACACAAGCTATAGTCATTGAGAGGAAGGAACCTCAATTGAGAAAATGCCTCCAGAAGATCAGGCTGTAAGCAGGCAAGCCTACAGGGCATTATTTTAATTAATGATTGATGGGAGAGGGCCCAGCCCATGGTGGATGGTGCCATCCCTGGGCTGATGGTCCTGGGTTCTATAAGAAAGCAGGATGATCAAGCCATTGTGAACAAGCCAGTAAGCATCACCCCTCCGTGGCTCTACATCAGCTCCTGTCTCCAGGTTCCTATCTTGCTTGAGTTCCTGTCCTGAATTCCTTAAATGATCAACTACAGTGTAGAAGTGTAAGCTGAATAAATCCTTTCCTTCCCAACTTGCTTTGGGTTGTGGTGTTTCATCATGACAATAGTAACTGTAAATAGACTAGTCATGAACTTTTCATGTTAAAATTAACTTTACAGAAATGGAATAGGACAGATGAACAGTAGAAAAGAGACAGTATCAGACTTGAAAATGATGTTGGGACAACCGAACTTTCTGAAAATCTTACCAAGCTCTGGCTAAAGTCAATAGGCTCTAATAATTCTCTTAAAACCTTTTAGCACTCCCTTCAAAACTCAATGTAGAAATCTAAGACAGGAGTAATCTTGTTTAGGTTAATTGGTTAGAGGAAGATCGAGGTGACTGATGATCATCTGATGCTAACCATTGGGGAAATACTGAGCTGCTAATGTGAGTGATTGAAGGAAACACCTAAGTTTGGTCACTTAGTTCATGGTCTGGGACATCCAAGAGCATATCAGAGGTTTCTGCTCATGTGTGTGAGAGCTTTGGAGTAGATGACAGAGCATGTTGGGAGTACATGAGAAGTGGTTAATACCTATAAAGGAGAGGTTCAGGGGAAGTACCAGGTTCCCTTTTAACAATTCATTTTTATGGGAACTGACCCAGTCCCGTAAGATCTGCTTAAACATTTTTGAGGTCAGTATCCATGACCTAATTATCTTCACCACTCACCTGCCCTTAAAGGCTCTACCACCTCAACATTGTCATAATAAGTCTCTAGAACATGAGCCTCTGGTGTTAACCATACCCCAACTGTGGCTGTGAGTCTGAACATTTTCTGAGTTATTATTCCCTTTTTGTTGACTCATAAGTTAGGACAATTTAACTTACTGAATTTCTCAAAACAATAAGCTGATGAAGTTTAGGTTTGCAAAGTGGCAGCTAAGAATAATAGAGCTGATTCTTAGTGAGTTTAACAGTGAGTTCATTAAAGAAATGGGGCTTTTCTCAGAATTTATGTAGTAACTATGGCCAAGGAGATGTCATGTTTTAATTGTTCATCTTTGCAGTTATACCTCTTATCAATATAGTTTGTTATACTAGTTCCCAAAAGAACGGCAGTGTCCCCTGTGTTTTGATAATGAACCAATGAGATGCAGCCACAAACTTGAAAGTTTCAGAGCATTCTACCAGACTTACTGAACTCATATAACAGTTAATATACTTTGGACAAGAAATTCATGAGAAGCTTTATAAGAGCTGTTGACTCATTCCATAGAACTGGACTAGTCTCAGTTTCAGCTGGCTGTTGGTGGGTCTGTTATATGGGTTTAGCTGTAATTGGGGATTCACACTAAAGTATTTTGATGAAAGAATAGCAATAACATGACATTTTTTAGCAGTCCAGCTTAACGTCCTTGCCATGTCTATTTGGAAATAGTCTTTCAAATGTCATAAAAATACCAATAAAATGTAAGAGAATTATTAATATGGAACGGTTGGGGCAAATGATGAAGGTTGTTATTATATTTTAGAAAAGGAAAGAAACAGAAGGGAAATATGACATTTCTTGATTTCTTTTCACATGGGGTAATACAATTTTACATTTTTTAATTTTTTAATTTTTATTTTTTAGAGAGAGGATTTCTCTGTGTAGCTTTGGAGTCTATCCTGGCACTCGCTCTGGACACCAGGCTGGCCTCGACCTTACAGAGATCTGCCTGCCTCTGTCTCATGAGTGCTGGGATTAAAGGCATGTGCCACAAACGCCCAGCCTATTTTGTTGTTTTTGACAGAATCTCATAGTGTGGTCCAGGTTAGTTTGGAAATTACTATGTAGACCAGGTTTATTAATGACCACTCAGATTTGACTCCTGATATCACAGACATGTTCCCAGCTCTACGGGGCCATTTTTCAATCAGTTCTTGTTTATGTGAGAATCTGGTTGCTGCTTACATTTGATTTAGTTTGCAATTGGCTTCAAGCTATGTTATTTTATTATTTCTTGAGTTTGAATCTTCCAAAAGCTGTGGATGAGATTATTTTGTTACCCCTCTAGGTAACTTGGGAAATAGAGCATCTTCTTCCTTAAGGTAGAATCAAGTAATGAGTGGTTCCTGTTATTTGAGGAAAAGTGTTTTCAGAAATGGGACACCAAAAACAAATCCATGTAAAATTTCATTAAACGAGGGAAATTTGAGTCCTCTTTTCCTGGTAACATGAATATATTATTCATTTGATTTAACCTTACATTAAACTACTGAAGTTATAATTTGAGCTAACAATTTAAAACTCCAGAAGGTTGAATCAGATATATCTTTTGTGTGCCATATATATTTTCTAGCAAATTTAGATGATAACACTGTGGTATTTTTCAGGTTGTACTTGATTCCATATTTTTAAGAGGTTTTTCTCTATAAGAATGTCCAGAGGGTTCATGAAGTGTCCTAGTTCCAAGCTCCTGTCTCGATGTCGCCAACCTAGTCAGTTTCTTCACATTGAGCCTCCTGGGCTCCCCCAGCTTCTGTTTTAGCATGTCTTCCGTAACTTCACTTGTCTTAGGTAGACCTAGAGTCTTTCTGTAGAATGACCTGAGGACCAATGGGAAGGAGATGCCATTCAGTTTAACTCCTTAACTGTGCACATTGTCTTGTCTACACATAGCTCTTAATAAAAACAAGTGAAATTTTAAAGAGAGTAATTACATACAAAAATCCATTCTGGGCTTTGGTTGTGACACAGTGACAGTGTGCTCGTCTAGCTTTATGCTGCCCTTCATTTGATCTCCAGCATGACAAGGACAATAGAAACCAGGTGATCAGACACTGTGTCTTTTCTTTTCCTCACAAAGGGATCCAGCATTACTGACACCTGCACGGAGATGCTGATGTGTGGAGTCTTGATGAAAATTTCTTCTGGAAATATTCAAGAACGGGTGTTTTTTCTTTTTGATAATCTGTTGGTGTACTGTAAAAGGAAACACAGGTAAGCTCATAACAAAGTCACACTTTGGAAATATTTTCTTCCATCTCACAGGCTCCCCATTCCTGCAGGAGTCCCAGAACTCATCCTACCTATAACCCATTTCACCCTGACCTTCCTAGCCTGCTTGATGTGTCCTGATCTAGGTATCACTCTCTTGTGACACTTCCTCCTGCAGCTCTCTCAAGGAGAGGCATACCTGTGGGAGATGTTGGTGTGTTTCCCTCTTTCCTGGTTCTGCTTCTGAGCCGTTTCCTCCTGTATCTGCAGGAGTCTCAGCATCTCGGCTTTAGCTTTGATCACTTTCCAGTCTTGTCACTATCTGGTGTATTTTCAAAATTCATGTGGATGATGTATTGAGAACTGTGGGCCACAATCCCTTCCCTGTTACACTCGAGCCATCAGTCCTATGCATGTACCTGGAGCTTATTAGTACCAACAGTTATGAAATGTGAGCCTCGGTTTAAGTCATTCCAACCTGAAAGTTTATGTCTGTTATCATCAACTCCAGAGTGTGGGCAGATTAAGGAAGTTCATGAATGCCACACCCAAATGAAAGAATAACAGATATTTATTTGGGAAACACAGAATGAAGATATACAGCCACCTAGGTCTTCTTCCCTTGGATGTATAGGATGCTGCAATGCAGGATGAAAGCCAGATATCAGATTGTCACCCAAAGACAGAGAGAGAGTGAGAGCCACCCCTCCTCTTCCTTATAAGGGACCACTTCAGCATACTGAAGCCATGCCCCAAGACTCTGAAACTATTGGCGGAAACCAATTCCTACTACACTTGAACTTTTGCAAAATTAATGTCAGTGTACAAAATGCTGATGTCCTGTGCTCTTACAGTCATACAGAAATTATCCAAAAAGTTTTCCTGAAGTAAAATCCTACTATGCGTATAATGGATACCCTTAATGGATGCACGCTGTATGGACTACACACAGTGGCTAATTATGAAAATAACCAGATCAATAGTTCTTAACCTGTGGGTCTCAACAGATACTTACATTACAATGTGTAAGAGTAGAAAAATTATAATTATGAAGTAGCAACAAAATAATTTTATGATTGGGAGTAACCACAGTATGAAAAGGGTCACAGCGTTAGGAAGGTTGAGAACCACTCAAGTGGGTTGATGTCCTCTTTATTCCCAAATTAGAGAAGCCTGTGCATGAACTGTTTATTGCTTCAACCAGGAATATCCAGGTTCATTCACAGGCTTCACCTTAGCATAGGCCTTTGAAGATTTAGAGCTGCTTTGATAGCAGAGTAAACTGAACCTCCTTCTATGTACCATGATACTGAAAGCACAAGAACCAAGGACCAGTGTAACGATAAATCTTTACTCCAAAGCCATCTGAGCCCTGCCACCAAGTGGGCACTTTCTGCCAGGCTGCCTGAGTTCTGCCCGCTGCCATGTTAAGGTCTCAAGTAACACACAGAGACTTATATTAGGTACAAATTCTGCTTGACCAATGACTAGGATTTCTCATCTGTGAGCTCAGTCTTAATTATCATAAATCTATATATTTTATAAGACCTATCTTATTGAGGATGCTGGCCGTAAACACCCTCTCTTGCCCGAGGATCACATAGCAGCTCCACAGAGAGGAGGAGGAAGAGCAAGAGAAACATAGCAACTTCCTTCTTGTCCTTGCTTATATATGAGTCTGCCTGCTATGTCACTTCCTGCCTGTATCACAAGACTTCTTTTTACTACATTTCCCAGAATCTTCCTTAACTCCTAGTCCTGCCTAACTTGCTTCTTCATTGGCAAACTGTCCTTTATTCAACAACCAATAGGATAAACACTCACAGAAAGATATTCCCCATCATCACCTCTTTTCTGTCTAAATATAACTCATTCAGGACTTTCATCACACTAACATTTCTTCCCCGAGGACCCCATGAAGCTGTTGTCGTCCCGGTTCAGCAGGAAGTAGCATGGAGAATACTACACCCCCTTTCCCAACTGTTGACACCTAGTTAGGGCTAGTTTCCTGTTGTTTAAGGTTGGGTTTGGAAGGAGGTGTTCAAGCTTGGACATCTCTTTTGGATGACTTTAAGGTTTAGTTGGAATAGTTATAGTTAAAATGTGACATTAGTAGATTATTATTACCTCATATAATTCACACTTATGATTATTAATGATAGATAATTTACAATGTTAAGTTTTAATCCTCTTTTAGACTAAAAGGGGAATTGTAGGGGAAATGTTAGCCACTCCCTCTTGGGGACTGGCACAGGTGACTCAGACCACGAACACTAGGGCATGGTCAGTGATATAGCAAGACCTTAAATATGAGGGTCACACAAAAGCGGCTCTCTCTGTTCCATGGTTTACCTGATTGTAGGGGACTGACTCTGTCTTGTCAGTACTCTCCTATTAAAACATCTGTTCATCAAACTTGCTCTGACTCCTTTGTGGTACACATTAATTGTGCCCCACTATAGACCAGTGCATCCATTTCAGCTCTCCACTTGCATTCTTTGGAGAGTAATGTGTTAAATTAGCCAGCTCCTTTTGTGATCCTTTTAATGCTTTCAATATTAGTAAATCAGGTGTAAAAATGATTTATGGTATAGCATGTAATGCCAATGAATAAGTTGTTGCTTAGTTTTGCTTGATAATTTTCAAAGATAGTATCATAGTATAATTAGATTTTTTATATTTATGTTTTCTGCTTTTTGGTTTCTTAAATGTATACTCAGTTTCATATAGCAATAGTTAATTCATTTTAACTGCTGTGCAATATACTATTGGTTTACTCTATCCCATTCAGTTATCACAGTCTATTACTTCTTTTTTCTGTCACTGGACTTCAGCATTATTTACAGCATTTTTGCTACCATACATTACTCTTGGTTGCATAAAACACATAGATGATAGTAATGATAGAGTATTTGTCCATCAAACAAAACAAAACTGTTCTGAGTATTCCCATAAGGTCATTTGCTTGAGAAATTAAAGATGTACCAACTTAAACTACTTATTAGATTTACATAATATAAAACAGTGTCGCCATACAAGATACAAAACCTGTTCAGAATTCAAAAGTAATATCATAAAGAAAATTACTAGCTTTGAAAATAGGATCATTTCTTTGTGTTTTTCTGTTGTATGTAGTCTCTCTGTGTGTAAGAGAGTATGTATTTGTATGTGTTTGTGCATGTGAATATGTTGTGTGAATGTATATGTATGTGAATGTGTGTGGTGTGTCTGTATGTGTATGCTATGTGTGTTGTCTGTGTGTTTTTGTATGTAAATGTGAGTATGTGTTGTGTGAATGTGTGTGTTGCGAATGTGAGCATCAGTGTGTGTTTATGAATGTGCATGTGTTTTATGGGAGTGTGTGTGTGTGTGTGTGTGTGTGTGTGTGTGTGTGTGAGAGAGAGAGAGAGAGAGACAGAGAGAGAGAGACAGAGAGAGACAGAGGGAGAGAGACAGAGGGAGAGAGACACAGAGAGAGAGAGACACAGAGAGAAGACAGAATTGTTTTGCCTATGACCAAAACTGTCTTTAAAGATATTAAGCCATTTACCATGTGACTGCTTTTGAAATAAAGTGTACCAATTTCCAGAGATATTCTTTCATGATATCATGATCCTGTTTTCCATCTTGTAAAACATACAACCAACTGTATACTTAACATAAGTAAACCTATTACTATACTTAATAAATATACAAAGGATGAAGTGATAGAAATTTTATCTGCGTGTATGTATGTACACTGTGTGTGTACCTAGTGACCATGGAGACCAGAAAAGGGTGCCAGATCCTTTGGAACTGGAATGGCAGAGATTGTGAGCAACCATGTAGGCTTTATGGAAGAGCAGCAGATCCTCTTAACCATGAGTCATCTCCAGCCCCCAGGAAACAGTTGTGCAGCTGAGTACTGCTTGACTTGGGAGCTTCCAGTAGGCAGCCTCCCCACCCAGCCCCCCCCCCACTGCTGAAAAAGAATCAGAAGGACTAATTGAGTTTGCTTCCAGTTTTGAAAAAGCTGGAAATTCTCAGCTACTGAAAATCTAGAATCAGACGTGTGAGATGTCAAGTGTGGCATTAAAGCCACCAACTTCCAGAGTCTGCCAGTCAGGTTTGACAGTACTGAAGTCTTATGTTGAGGAAATATGCATAATTACAGCATCCATCTATCATCTATCAATTTATTTAAATTCATATAGAAGGGGATGGAGATGTAGCTCACTTGGTAGAGTACTTTTATAGCAAGCAGGAAGCCTGTGTTAGATCCCCAGCATCAAATAAACAGGCTATGGACGAACACACCTGTTGTCCTAGCATTTGGGAATTGGAGGCAGGGGGATCAGAAATTCAAGGTCATCCTCTACTATATGGCTTATTTTAAGTTTGCTTAGGATGCATAAGATCCTACTTCAATATTTCCCCTCCTCCCATTCTGCATAGCAACCCACCAGCGCCACTGTGAGTGAGAAGACCGAGTAAAATCAACTGCTTCTGACTTTTTATGATACTGATCAACAGGAGACTTTTTCCAAAGAATTTTAAAAACGATGTTTTATATTAAGTTTAGTAACAAAAGCTTTGTGGTTTCATTTGTTTAAGACGGCTAAAGAATAGCAAGGCATCCACAGATGGACATCGGTATATTTTTCGAGGTCGGATCAACACTGAGGTGATGGAAGTGGAAAATGTGGATGACGGCACAGGTAAGATCACCCAGTAAACTCCCCGTAAGGGAGAATTCTGACTCCAGTACATCAG